TCATTGCATTCGGTTTTACTTATTAAAACGATACCGAATGTGTATTAAAGAAAATGAGGGTCATTTTGAACATTTATTGTAATATTATATTTATAGAGGTTATAGACATTTTTTTTTACTTATTAATTCATTTAAGCCATTTATTTAGTTGCACGTAATTTTTTAAAGGATAATGAAAAGGGCCGTAACTCAATAAAAACTGTTCTTTGAAAAAAGTTATAGGAGGCAAAAGATTTTAAAAAATAATGTGTTAAACTAATGACGTCACAAAATTAATTTGATTTGAACGTACTCAAAAGTTTGGGGGGATTTGGGGCTGCATACACCCCTTAAAATTTTTCTGTGCGCTTAGATTTTGTTGTTTCTTTTTAATGAAAAATGCTTTGAGAACAAGAAAGTAACGTGTCCATTTATATTACAAAATCTCAAGTAGTTCAATCAATTTATTTTTATCCCCGGAATGTGTGATTCATTTTATGACATACCTTTTTGAAACACCCTGTATACTATATTACAACAGATCGCACGCATATACAATACTGTGAAGCATTTCTTACTACGGATAAGGTTTTTTTTATTGTTAACTAACACTATTTTAGTATATTTCTAAAAAATCAACTGAGGTGAAAAACCACTATGAGGACAAATCTTCGAAATTTTTCTTTACTGAAAACGTTTCGCAATGACTATAATAAAATAATTATCGTTTTTTTACTACACACGCCAAAAATGATTGATGTTTACATTATAAATTGCTTTTAGGGTATTTTTAGCATTTTATTTTAGCATCTTGAAAATAGACAGATGCTAATAATTGTATTAAACAGACGAAAACATTACGAGACAAGTAAAATAAACGTTATAAAACTTGAAAGTACTTTATTTTTGAAAATGTGGAATTTAAATTAGTATCGAAAAATTATGTTGACTTTATTGCAATAAATTAGGTGCTTAACCTCTATTAAAAAATGCTCAAAAAGTATTAGGACCATATCAATAAAAAGTTATATACAGTCCTCTCTCTCTATAATGATATGCAAGGGACCAGGAATTTTCATCGTTATAAGGAGAGACCGTTATATAGAGAGACAAAATTCGACACTGTAATATTAATAATACTGTCCTAAATAACCTATTTTAATTTAAAAAAATTATCAAAATGAATATAAATGAATTAACACTGTATTGTGCACCACATAGATTTATTAAAGAATAATATAAGTAATACAGTATAAAAAATGACTGTACAATTAAAACATGTGTACTGTACAATAACAAAATAATACACTACTGTAAAATATATTTAGCCTACATTACCAAAAAAGTCTGTGACCTTGGTCTTTTTCCTTTTCCGTTTCCACAGAACTGACCTGACCATGTCCTAAAGACACATAGAATCTTCCACAGCACTCATATCGTCTTCTTGGTGGATGAAGAATCGATGCAGTACTTTTGCCGCATTCAATGCCTGCTTTTTTTATCGTGTCCGGCGTTCATTTCATTCATAAAATTTCTACCCATTATCGGTCTACTTCGGTTCCATCTTTGTTGGCGAGCCATAAATTTCTGCATGTTTCTGCATGTAAGATGTTCCATATTCTGTGCTTTTCCACAGTTACAGTTCACATTATCTTGGTCTATTTTTCCCCATTTTACCATGTTTGATTTTACCATGTTTGTTTTAAAGTCTAGGGACTGGCCGGTCCATTGAACCTGGGGAAGAAAAATATACTCAGGCGATTCATCCTGCACTGTTCCAAGGAATCTTTTCATGGATTTTAGTCGCTTTCGTGGTGTTCGAGCCTTGTATCGGGCATGCCGCTCGTCCGCGATCTGTTTAATTTTCACTATGTACTCTACAACGCCTCTGCGTGTTGAGGGTTCTGCAAAACCCGCTACTTTATATAGAGACGTTGGTTGAGAGTGATGTTGGTTTTCTGCTGAGGGCTCGGAGCTGGTTTCGGCTCTGCCTCCACTTCCGGGCCACTGTATTCTTCTTCTTCTACACGAACTTGTACAAAATTTGAGGTACACCTGTTTTGGGATACGGAGATTCCATATTTGATATTTACAATGTTGCCAGATTTGCAGTTTTTCTTATATTATTAGTAACTTTGGTTTTTCAAATACATCACCCTGTATATTCAGTCATTATTGGAATCTCCTATTCAATACGAGTTCAACCATATGTAACACTTATGATTTTATGTAATCTGAAAGGTCATAAATACATAAAATCGAAGTCTGGCAACGCCTAACTTGTTTGAATAAATTTTTTAATACTAACTATTTTCAAATACATTAAAACGTAACAATTGATAGTTTAGAACATTTTTTAACATAGTATTTACGTTATTAAGTGTTCAAAATGTGCTCCATTTGTGAGTTGACAGCACTCTAATCGATGGTAGAAGGCGTCTACCACATTCTCCATGATTGTCTAGAAATTATTCGAGATTCATTGATAATTCGTTGCCTCAGCTCTGCAAGACTTGCTGGTTAAGTTTTGTAAACTGATTTTTTCAAGTATCCCTAATAAAAATAATGAAAAGTGAAAACCATACTCAAAGACCACAAAAATTAAATGTATGGTCAGTTATAGTAGGTACTTATTTAATTGGGCCATTTTTTATCGAAAGAAATTTAACGGGAGATAGTTGGTGTAAATGTTCGGCGTTATTTAGATAAGATATTTCCCGGACGATAAATTGGTAGACAAGGTAGAATTGAATGGCCTCCACGTTCACCCGATCTCAATCCTAAAGATTATTTTTATTAGAGATACTTGAAAAATTCAGTTTACAAATTTAACCAGCAAGTCTTGCATAGCTAAGGCAATGAATTATCGATGAATCTCGAATAATGTCTAGACAATCATGGAGAAATGTGGTAGACGCATTCTACCATCGATTAGAGTGCTGTCAACTCACAAATGGAGCACATTTTGAACACTTAATAACGTAACTAGTATGTTAAAAAATATTTTAAACTATAAATTGTTACGTTTTAATGTATTTGAAAATAGTTAGTATTAAAAAATGTATTGAAACAATTTAGGCGTTGCCAGACTTCGGTTTTATGTATTTAAGACCTTCTAGACTACATAAAATCATAAGTGTTACATATGGTTGAACTTGTATTTAATAGGAGATTCCAATAATGACTGAATATAAAGGGTGATGCATTTGAAAAACCAAAGTTACTAGTAATATAAGAGAAACTGAAAATCTGGCAACATTGCAAATACCAAATATGGAATCTCCGTATCCTAAAATAGGTGTATCTCATATTTTGTATAATTATATTTAGTAATTTACGAGATAATTAGCCGTTCTAGACTTTTGGGCTACTCTGTATATATATATATATATATATATATATATATATATATATATATATATATATATATACACAGATATAAATATTGGGGAAATCTTCAATTAATATGGCTTCTTCAAAGCTGAAAGAGGATAAATTATAATTAGCTACCATATATTATCTATTAAGAAACATTATCGATCTTACCGTAACTTAGAATTGTAGAGTTAGAATATTAAAAAACTTAGCTAGGAACAACATAGTTGTGTTTTTTGTTACTATGTGCAAAAAAAGTTTTTTTTAACGTTGGAAATGTATGGGAGCTTAGAACTTAAAACGTAACGGTTTACCCAAGGTTAATCGGGAAAACCAATGTAACTACATTTAAAAGGAAGTAATTCTTTGAGTAGTCGTCAATAACTAAATTTTTGATTGTTAGAAAGTTTAAATGTGAGGTTCTGTTTTATCAGAACGGATGTGCTGACAATGCAAGTAGGTCTTTTGAATTTTTATGTCGTTAAGGTTCATTGGTAAAACCGAATGAAAATAAATACCAGTTTAGGGAAATATTATTTTAGATTTTCTTAATTGATTTTTTTTTTAATTATATTATATTGCTCATGTATTATTAAAATATCTTATTGAGATGTATCTAAGAAAAGTAAGGGAATGTTATCTTAAGTTAATAAAAATTATTATTAAAGTAGGTTAGTTGTTCATGGATATATCAGTCAAGTTAGTTATCTGTGATGTTGTATTGTTCTTGGTATCTGATTTAAGTAAGAAGTGGTATATATCGGTTAGATTCTTAATGTCACTCTTAACATTGATAAAGAAATCGTTAAGGAAAATATAAGACATTTCAATGAACTCTCTTTTAGATTTATTGTTCTCACGGTGGAGAATTGTAGTGTTTTCAAGTCCATGAGATGACCAGTGTAATGGACATGTTTGGCTAATGCACAACGGTTAGGGTGAAGTCGAGAATCACTTTTGTGTAGTGTAATACATGATTTCAATAATTGAGATGTTTGGCCGATGTAGGAATTGCTACAAGAGAGGCATGGACTGTTGTAGACAATGTTACTAAGATTATTAATTGTTAGGGCTAATCTACAAGCCACATTAAGTTTAATGTTATTATTATTACCAAAGCTATTTTCAACACTTTTCAGAATCCTTGTTAACCCCGGAGTGATATCTCTGAAATATGGTAATGAAAAATATTTGTTGATAGGAGTATCCGAGACTGGGTTCCCACTTAAGACATCAGGGTCAGCATTTTTAGTCGCGAAGGAAGGTGAAGTATCTTCGTTATGGATAGTGTTAAACAAAATCTTATTCACTAATGGTGTTAGATAAGCGTTTGAAATAAAAAGTTTCTTTAGGATTTGTAGGTTTTTTGTATGAAATGAAGGATCTGATATTACTCTTGAATAAATGTCGTACAAAAATGTTTGGCCAAAAAAACTTACCCCCTTGAGTAATAAGTTTATCTTACCTGTAACTTACATTTACCGATAATAATTGGCGGCACAGTTTCTAAAGTTGTTATTACATATTGTAGTATTATTTTATATGTGATTCTTGGTGGGTAAAATAACCCATTAAACTAATTAGACTAGACCCATTAGACTAATAGTTATTGCGTTGATTTTGCTTATTAGATTTTCCTGTTTTAGCTAAACCATCAGGCTTAGAAGACGTAAAGAAATGGGAAGCTTGGAACGCCAAAAAAGGAATTGCTATTAGTACCGCTAAAGAACAATACATTACAAAGGCGAAGGTTTTGGCTGGTACATATGCTTAAGTTTCTGCATATTGTTTCTCATTGTTTTTTGTAGTACTAAATAATAAAGTAGTTACTGATGATATCACATTCACAATACTGTAATTTTAGCACTGAAAAGTAATATACTGATATTTTTTGTTTATTTGTTTGTTTAAATCCTACTACCTTTTTTAATTAACAAATACATTGAAGTAAAATTTTGGTTAGACGTTCAAATTTAACTTTGGAAAATACATAGTACCAAACCCGGGTTCTTAACTTGACCACTTATTTTAGAAAACTTCCCTATAAACTTTTTTAATCTGATCCTCCACTATATCTGGTTAAATCTGCCGAATTAGATTAAAATGTCTCTTCCAAATCAAATTATCATGAATAAGTTTACATAAATAAATTCCATCGTTTAAAACTTCGTTTATTACACAGCCGACCCATATTTTTCTATTTGGATTTCTGCAAATCTAATTTCGATGTGAAAATAAATATCTGTAAATCAAAATTTTAAGCTGCACATTTCTTTTTTTATCTAAAAAAGCTTTTTTAATACTAATTTAACCAATTTAACACAGTTTTTCGCAAAGTCGTTGGTTGTGGGATAGGCGGGTGAAGATGTTACCAATTTAACTCCGTTATTACTTAATTTTTATCAATGTCAAAAGTTTTTAGATATACAGTAGACCCGCTATTATACCAGCTAATTGGGACCGCGCATACCTCGGATACAGAAAAACTCGGATAACCGGGAAATTGAGTAGTTGCTTAAAATAAACAAACAATTGAAAAGTTATGAGGTATGTAATTTGTTCATTATGGACAATTGAAGTGAACCTGTAAGCGAGTACATAGTTAAAATATACAGATAGGAAAACAATTACGTACTAGATCATCTTCATGTTTTAAAAAAGTCTTTGATAGATTTCTGCATCAATTCCTAGCCTCGTTTTGAAGCTGCGACGTTTTTCCAACGCTGAAGATGAAGGACGTCAGTAGCGTTTGACTCTTTCTCTGTTGCTGAATGTAGGCAAGGGCAGCTTCAGTCGCCTTCAATTCTACAGAGTGAGACATTTTCTCGATTATCTCACCTGGGTCATACGCATTGACACTGTGTGGGTTGATAGCCATGTCGGCGATTGCATCATCAGTCAGTTCCATTTGCTAATCTTCCATAATCACTCGTTGTAATCATAATCCACTCGTTGACGTCTTCGTCATTTGTCATCAGTTTCGTTAGTAACTGATTAGCGAGATCTACTATTTCAGCAATACAGTCATTGTTATCTTTACCATCACTTTTCGCTTCAATTTGAAAAAGCTTTCGCCATGACTTTTGCAAAGTTGTTACTCTCACATCACCCCACGCTGAAGCTATCCAGTAAGACTCATCCTTAGCGGTGATCTTTTAAAGGTCTGCTATGAAAGTCATTCCCTCATCCAAGCAGGTCAACCAGACTTGGAGAAGCCTTCGACGATAGTTCCGTTTCATAGCCTCTAAAATTCCTTGGTCCAGAGGTTGAATGAGACATGTAACGTTTGGTGGCAAGAAAGCAGCTTTAGTGTCTTTAGTATCACCGCTAGCCAACGAACTTGCATCTTAATAAGATGGCGCGTTGTCCAAAAGAAAAATAGCTTTTCCTGGTAGATTTTTCTTTTTAAGTAGGTTCGTCCAAAAACCAATCTTTAAAAATTTGTCAATCCATCCACGCGCTACGTTGATTCCTGTGCATGGTGGAGAGGCAGTTTACTTAAATATTTTTAAAAGCCCTTGGATTTTTCGATTTTCCAATGATCTTAATTTTAAAGATCCAGAAGACTTGCTATACATCAAATGAGTTACTCGTTCTTTCCTTTTTTGTATGAGTGTTTTAGTTAGAAGCATTCTGAAATTGAGATCCATTTCGTCACAATTGAAGATTTGGTCTGACGTAAGATCATGCTCTTAAATGAGATCTCTCAACTTTAAATTAAACGGCTCAATTTCAGATGAATCGGCCGAAACTTTTTCACCCGAAATGTTCAGTTGTCGGATGCCCTACCTCTTTTTCCATCTGTCGAGCCAATCATCACTTGCAGTAAAATTTTTCTCGCCATAAACCGTTTGTGAAATTCAACAGCCTTAGTTTAAAGCATGCGACCGCTATTTGGACTTCACAACCTTTGAAGATTAAAAAACCATAAAAATAAGGATTCAGATGTCTGTTCGTATTGTCCTTTGTTCACAGTTTTCCGCAACAAATTACTTCCACCACTTACGCTGTTATTAACCAAATGTTCAATATCCTTTCGTTTACGTCTCCAATCTCCCATAGTCACTTCTTTAACACCTAGGCCTGCAGCAACCTTATTTAGTGACTCATCCTTATCCAAGCGTTTTATAGCACTTAATTTTGTTTCTAAAGAAAGCACAACTCGTTTACATTTTAGACTTATGTTGCACTTTAAGTTACGTAGAAACTACACGAAAAGAAGACATGAATTAGCTTGTAAGAGCTTACAGTGGGACGAACCGAACAGCTAGCTGTTATGACTCAAACTGACGGGTAAAGGAGTGGCTGGTGAGGCTGCCAGTAGAAGCACAGTGGCTAGAACAATAACACTCGCTAGTGACCAATCTCGTCAGCATACCAATAACCAGTGCAACGCTTTTACTTGATATCACTCTTAAACTAATTTATTACATAATTATTTGTTCTTTTCAATTATTACCTCGGTTAATCCAGAGGCTCGGTTAATCGACACTCGAATAATCGCGAGTCTACTGTAAATTGGGTCCCATTATCCGTTTCTACTATACGTGGTATTCTAAAACACAAAAAACATTTCCTTAATTTACCAATAGTATTTTCCGAATCCGCAGTGTTCATTACGAAAACCTCTGGCCATTTAGTGTATGTGTCCACAATAATTAAAATTGTTTTGCTCTAATAGATCCTATAAATTCAGCATGTATTTTTTGGTTGAGTTTACCGAAAGTACAAGCTAAATATAGCCGCAAATGTCACAAATATTTGGGTTTGGCAGTATTGGGATGTTTTTATAATGCATAATATGTTGTACGCTTCAAATACAAAGAGAAAAAGCATTTAAAAAGTACATTTTGATTATACTATTTTATGAACTCTGCAATTTTTAATTTATATGAAGCAATAACGAGTAAATATTTGTCTCTTTCGAGATTAATTGCATAAATTTGTTAGCAATCTGACGATTGCCAAATCTATTCGTAATACATCAAAAGGTAATTGCCAAAAAAATTTCTAATAATTAACTGCAATTAATTTTCAAAGAAACAAATACTTACTCATTCTTGTTTTATACAAATCAAAAATTGCAGAATTTATGACATAATATAAACAAAATGAACTTTTCTAAAGCTTTATCTTTTTATATTTGAAGCATACAGCATCTAAATGGCGGCTGCACAATTGCACGGAAACGGGTACAAGAACGAAAATGGGAAAAAAGTTAACCTCTACGTAAATCAACGTTTAGATGCACAATAACCGAGAACGAGAAGCCGCCCGGTAACGAGAACGGGAAAGTTGCCCATGTTTCAACTTTCTCGTTCCCGTTGTATTCCCGGAACTAATCAGAAAGCAGCATTTAAATTACTGTCAAATGTAAAATAAAAATTTGTTTACATTGTGAGTGACCATCTTATAACCTAAGCTTCTTGTCTAAGCATTTTATTTATTTTACATTGAAATGAATAACTATGACGAACTATTGATTTCTTTAGTGGAAAAATGTCCTCATATGTATGATCGAATAGGGCAAATTAAACTGGGACATAATCTACCCATATTACAAAAAACCAAGTTAGGTTGGTTAATATCTGGACCTATACACACCAAAAACAATACATATACAAGTTTGCACTGTTCTGCAACAAACAACTTGGACAACCAACTTTCCAAATTCTGGGAAATAGAAGAGTATCCAAAAACTGAATTTTTTTCTGATGAAGAAAATTATTGTGAACAACATTTTAAAGAAAATGTAACTTAAGACGCAGATGGACGTTTTATCGTCACAATTCCACTCAAAAAATCAATTTCTGAGCTTGGAGACTCCAAAACTGCAGCAACTAACAGATTTTTGACATTGGAGCATAAATTACTTAAAAACAATGATATGCGATTTCAATATCATCAATTTATTAAGAAATACATTGATCTTGGACACATGTCTTTGGCTGAAGATCAAAATGACAGAAATGGTTTCTTTCTTCCACATCATTGTGTGCTTAAGGCTGACTCCACTACTACAAAACTTCGTGTCGTTTTTGATGGTTCAGCCAAGAGCTCGACCGGTGTTTCACTTAACGACCTTATGTTGGTCGGTCCAAACGTTCAAGACAACTTATTTTACATATTACTCCGCTTTAGAAACCACAACTACGTGTTGAGCGCGGACGTAGCAAAAATGTATCGTCAGGTACTAGTACAAGAATCTCAACGTAACCTGCAAAAGATTCTATGGCGTTTCAACGCTAATGATAACATTCTAGTGTACACACTAAACACTGTGACATACGGATTAGCTTCTGCCTCTTTTCTTGCCATTAGATCACTTCAAGAGGCCGCTTATAGAAACATGAATAGATTTCCTAAAATTTCTAATATCATTTTACACGATTTTTATGTTGACGACCTCCTAACAGGTGCAGAAACTGTAAATGAGATTATACAAATTAAGGAACAAATTACTAGTCTCCTTTTAAGTTACGGATTTCCTTTGAGAAAATGGATTTCAAATGATCCAGCTTCATTATCCAATGTCAGCCAAACTCCTTTGCATATTAGTGAAGGTGACCAAACCAAAACACTTGGTTTACTTTGGAACCCCAATGTTGATTGCCTACAATACTCGATTAGTGGTTCAACTCATCCTTTCAGAATTACAAAAAGGCAAATCTTATCATCAACTGTACAGATTTTCGACCCTCTTGGACTTTTATCACCAGTTACTGTGACTGCTAAAACTATACTCCAAGAGCTTTGGAAGCTTAAAATATCATGGGATGAAACTGTACCTGCTGACTTACACACAACTTGGGCTACTACTCAACTACAATTACTGAATTCTATCAAAATACCACGACAAGTGTCT